AAAAAATGCAAAATGTGATTTAAATTGGAATTTTAAAAAAAGATATTCTTAAATCACAGTTGATATTGCTTTCGGTTTATTCACTTGTCAACAATCATCAGTTAACAGTCAGGTTGAGAGCAATGCATTGTGGGGTAGGTAAAGTATTTCTAGAGTTATTTTAGTATTATTTTTATTCTATTATAGTATTTATTAATATTTTGAATTAGCTTTTAGTTTGATATTTTCAGTATAATTTTAGTTTATATTTTAGTAATGTTTTATGTGCTTTTTTTATTTAGCTTTAATGCATTTTTATTTAGGTTTTTAGTTAAGTACTTTCAAAGCTTAAACAAAAATTAGAAATGTTGCCTTGGTAACTATTAGTTTTTCATCTAATGCTTTTATTTTATTTCAGATTTATTTAAATTACCCAACTCAATTTTTTATAGTTTTATTTTTAGTTAATAATAACAACTATTGCTACATCTATTGCGCAGATGTTGTGGCTACTGCTCTGCCCTTTGTCTGTTTAATAATAACATCCTCGCTCCTGTGTGAAATGATATCAGTGATGTCTCCACACTCTACTACTGTGTGTATATGTGCTTGTGTTTTCACAGGGAAAGAGGATACTCCGTCTCTGAGGGGTTTGTGTGGTTCCTTAACCTCAATGGCCAGTTACAAATCTCTGGCCAGTCTGAAGTCCAGCGAGTATCTGGCCAGTCCAACAACAGACATGACCAGCCCAGGACTGACTCCATCCTGAGAGACAAGTATGGACATACTGTATAAATGCATACACAAACACACCAGCCTGCTTGAGATCGTGTGGGCTTCAAATTGAAGTGAAGAAAGAAAAGCTACCTATCGGTACCATCCTCAGAGCTTCTAAGAGACATTTCAACTAGACAAGATGAAACCCCAGTGCTATCCCGACTGGTTTTAGTTTAATTTGAAGTGCAATTCATTTTCAAATCTGAAGTCCATAGCTAGTGTAAGCATTAGCATTAGTGAATATTGAGCATAATGTATCACGATGAATGACAGTCTTGACTCAGGACATCAGTGAATTTCAGTTGTTTGTGAAATTTTGTTTATCTACCCAGTTCAGATGTTTGCTGTTTTTGGAAAGTCTATAGATAAAGGTTTTCGTGATGTTTTATTTTTGCTTCTACTCATAAAATTTGTCCTGTGTGGAATTATACTGAATTATTACTAAACTTTGATTTAACTTCAGTGCCCCTATCGAAACGTATAGTTTATTTAAAAAAAACACATCATTGCACATCACAGCTATACTAGCACAGCTACAGTATGTAGGAAATATTTTTATCTATTTATTTTATTTTATTGAATTTAATATTTAATTTTATTTAAAGAAAAAATTCTAGTTGCAAGCCTCCTCTTAAATCCACTTTTCATTATAAATGGTCAATTATTGTGATTAATCTGGCCCCTCGCGACACATTTTGGTCCCCTTTAATAAAAACTAGAATCAGCATGCCAAGTAAAATACACTTTAAACAATTTTTTAACACCGCTTTCAAAATATTAACATGAACATATAGCTGTGATATTCAGTAAGAAAAATATTTAGGACGTTAACCTAATTGTATCCATCAGAAATTGTTTGGATTGTGAGAAATTAGTGATCTGTATCAAAATTGAAAAGCTGGAGCCCTAATATTGTTGAATTGTCCAATTAGGACAGAATTGTGAACAACAAACATTGCTTTGTTCATTTGCCATCATTTGTCTTTTTAGGGAGTAAGAGGGATGTAATTTCAGAAAATTCTCTGGTGTGCTGAATGTGGATGTGTATACATTTATTTCTCGTCTCTGACTTTTAACTGAAGTGTTTGACATTCACTCTGTCCTCTTATGTGGAGAGGTTTTACATATTTATGAGTTCTGTGAATTACATAATCATACAGCACTCAAACATCGGTTTTGCATTTTTTTCCCACCGTCACTCACAGATAGTGGCTAATGTGCACTGGTGTGAAGCATTGCCATGCATTTATATAAATGAATAAGAATAATATGGATGATAAATAATATGATGCATAATGGACTGGAACAAGAATGTATTCAAAACCTAAAGCAAAGATCTTTAACGTCACATGTAAACATCTGAACTAGTGTTGTCAATTTAATGGGATTAATTATTTAAAAAAAAAAATATTCAAGTTAATAATTTCCTCTAATTTGTACGTAAATGTTGTAATTTTCCTACCTCCAGAGCAAATCAAGATTAAAGTACCACTTTGTTTTTGACTGTATAATGAGGCTGTGGACTATAGGCCAGTGATGTCCAATGAGACGGACATAAATGATATATTGACTTCAAAGCCAACATATATATATACACAGTATATTTTAATGTCCATTCCATGCTTTTCTCATCTGCTGCAGTTATCTTCATTAGGGGGCTTTTTTGTGGTTAATTTGATTACAAAATCAGAATGTCATAATTAATATGCAGTATTTAATTAATTTTTAATCAATTGACTAGTAGTCTAATAGTCTGAACCCATTTTTATTTCAATGGAAGGTTTAATTTTAGAATTAATTGGTAGAGTTGTGTTTGAAGTAAAATACCTAATACTGCTGCTGATAATTTTAAGAAATTAACATTCAAGTGTTACTAGTGTGATTTGAGCATAAAAACAGACCTGTTTATAAATTCAGTTTAAGAGGCATGCCAAGCCATGAGTAATATATGACAATAACTGAAGATATTAAGAAGTGTGTATGATTACTCATTAGCATCAGCACAGTAATAACAGAAATTCCAGGGAAACACGTATGCAGAATTCCCATCTAAAATAGTCTTGTACATCGCCTTGCTGAACATCCATGTTCTTAGTGTTGAAGAATGTCTCGTCTGCCTTTGACTTCATTTCTGTACTGCAGAAATACATCTTACATGTGAAATGCATGTTTTACACTGTTCAGAGCTAGCTCAGTAGCCAGTACATCTAAATGTGCATCTCAAGGTTTATTTGAGATTCTTACAGCACTGTTTGTGCAATTAAATGTATTTTATGTGTATAGTGGAATGAAGGAAATGCATTTCAGTACCTAAGTGTTACTTTTCAGAGTTTTAGCCTTTCAATTTGAAAAATGTTAACACTTGTTTGAAAACCCTGCAGAATTGTCACCTTTAGACATTTTTGAATGTATTTTCTTTCTCAATGCTTTGAAATCTGTTTTTGTGATTGAGCTTTTGTTTCTTTCATTTTCTGTTGCACTGTGACAGAAATAAATGGGGTGAGGATAACGAGGGCGCACTGAGATGAATATCATATATTCACCTAATTATAATTTAGCCTCAATATATTCAGTCAAATTTCACTTTATGTCCTCATCTATGATCTTTTTTTTTTTTCTTCTTCAATAAATTAAAATGTAAATACAAGCTTGGCTGAATGCTTATTTTGTGCAATGGTATACTAGCTTACAGAATATTGTCGCACGACCTCATCACATTGCAGGTTTAATTTAGTGTTTGATGTCCAGTTATCAATACAAATTAAATGCAATTTTGTGAAAAAACAGAATGCTGAAATTAATTCTCATTCTTTTATCACACTGGAAATGGAAGGTAAATAGATTACAAATTTGCACATGGCATCAGATCTTATGTGCTCCTGGTTCAAGCAACATGAGTGTAAATTGTCCAGTTATCAATACAAATTAAATGCAATTTTGTGAAAAAACAGAATGCTGAAATTAATTCTCATTCTTTTATCACACTGGAAATGGAAGATAAATAGATTACAAATTTGCACATGGCATCAGATCTTATGTGCTCCTGGTTCAAGCAACATGAGTGTAAATGAAAATAACTAGAGACAATATTCTGGACTGAATAAAGGAATTTGAGACAGAGATTTGAAATCATTTATGAATCACTGTTGAAGCACTTAAAAAGGAAATTCAATTACAAACAGCGCAATTGTTTAAAAAGCTGTGAATATTCACACTTTAGGCAATGGGTCAAGAAAAAAAGATATAAATTAACAATTATAAATCAATTATTTAACTAGTTAAAAAACTCATTCTTATTTTTGCCACCATTTGCATACACTGTCTTCATTTAACACAAACCTCGAAAAGAAATTACTGAAACACTACTGAGACAATAACAATTAAAAGTCAACAAGACAAAACAGGTAGAACAAAATTACAAGGATAAGCATGTCTGATGGGAATACATTGGGTGTGAATTTACCAATTTACCTAACCCTAAAATAAAAAATAAATAAATAAAGATGCGTTTATATGCAAGGGTTTATGTTTCTTCACCTTTTTAATTAAAACATTTAAAAACACAAATAATAAACAATTTTATTTTCAATAATTTGACCTACGTGTAAGATACTCTGTTACTTTTAAATATTTACTAGAGAAAGTAAATACGGATTTATTTCACAGCAACTCTATAAACTAATCTCTCTTTTAGACAGACAGCAAGAGTGATTACATGTTGGGAAAATGTGTGGTGTAGTCTGTGATTAATTTACTGAATCTTAAAGGTCTGTGATCCAAGTGTTCTTCTAAATCAGAGGTTTTCTGTGTGAGGCGACATGCTGGGCTGCAGTTGTGTCACCCTCTGTTTCTTCTGGTTGTATCTGAGGAAAAAAGCTTTTCCGAACTCCTATGTGCTGATCATTATAGCACATGCCGGAGCCACTTTAATCAGCCTTGGCAGAAAACCTGAGGATAAGAGACAGAGAGAAATCTGAGCTGTACTGCTGAGACATCTAGTGGTGACTTGAAAATCACGGCCCTATGATTACATACACATGTGTGTGTGTGTATATATACAGTGGGGCAAAAAAGTATTTAGTCAGCCACCAATTGTGCAAGTTCTCCCACTTAAAAAGATGAGAGAGGCCTGTAATTTTCATCATAGGTATACCTCAACTATGAGAGACAAAATGAGAAAAAAAAATCCAGAAAATCACATTGTAGGATTTTTAAAGAATTAATTGGTAAATTCCTCGGTAAAATAAGTATTTGGTCAATAACAAAATTGATGTTATTGAAGCACCCTCCTGGGGGACTTCCCGCAGTTCTGTGTCTGTGGTTTCATTCACCCCGCTACAATATATAAAATACTTTATTTAGCAAGGACGCATTTAATTGATCAAAAGTGCCAGCAAAGACATTACAAAAATTATATTTCAAATAAATGCTGTTCTTTGGAACTTTCTATTCATCAAAGATTTCTGAAAAAAAAGTGTCACAATTTCCCCAAAAGATACTGTTTTCCAAAAGAGAATGATTTATGAAGGATTTTTTTTTTATTTGTGAAGGATCATGTGACACTAAAGACTGGAGTAATGACGCTGAAAATTCAGTTTTGCATCACAGAAATAAATTACATTTTAAAATATATTAAAATAGAAAACATTTATTTTAAATTGTAATAATATTTCACAATTTTAATATAAGGTATATTAATCTTACCGATCCCAGATTTTAGAACGGTAGTGTGCGTGTGTTCAATATGAATACACATATTTACCTGCAAATAGTCCTGATACTTCATTTTCAGCAACTATCCTTTTCATGTGCTGGATGAGACTTGTGTGGACACTACACAGATTATACTGCACATTAATGTAATATTCTGATTGAATATACATGTCAAACCAAAGCTCAGAATCCTCCAATTATGGAAACCATTTACATAATTTCACCTGAATACTCACATTTCATTATCTGCAGTTCACCCAGTTCTACCTGTCGTTTTGTCTTGACTACATCAAAGGGCAGTGTGATGACTGATGCAAACTAAAGTAAGAAAATGCAGGTACTTGACATTTCAGGACATGTTTTTATTTACAGTACAAATACAATGTGGCCAAACACATCCTGGATATTTCACATTGAATCACATTGAACCCTACTTATGCATGCATTTAGTACCAGTAAATGAGACCCATGAGAGCTCTGATGATACAGATGTAGTAAATCACAAACTTACTGATCCAGACAGTGCTCCAGCTGTGAATGTGATGGCAAAGGTTGGATCTGTACAGTTGTAATATTGACAGAGCCAGGCTTTACCCTTCTCATAGATAAACCAGTACATAGCTGAGGAGAAACAAAGTAAAATAAGAAATTAGGAAATAGCAGCAAACAATACGCATTCAAAGAGTCGTTTGAAGGTATAGGAGACCCCTTCAAAATATGGTCAAATGGTAAACATTCTGCTATTTCGTGGTCCATGTCGGTTCAAAAGTTTGGGGTTGGAAAGATTTTTAAAATGTTTTTGAAATTAGTCTTATGCCCCCCCCCCACAATAATAATATCTCAATAAAACTAAAATAACACTGTTGCTCACCAAGGCTGCATTTATTTGATCAAAAATACAGCAACAAAGAGCAACAATGTAACATGGAGAAATGCAAAAATACAGAGCTGGACATTTCCCAAACAAGTCTAGATGAAGAAGACCTTATTATCAAAGCTTATATAAATATATTATGGAATATAACCGATTTGTGGGTCGGTTGGATATCCATCAGAAATCACATTCAGTTTTATATGAGTTTTTGTATTTTTGAGTATTGTGTTTGTAAATCAAGTGCTTCAAAATGTGAAGTGTGTAATGTGAAGGCTGTGTGTGTTTGACCTGAGAATGGGACGTCTCGGAGCAGCGTGGGTCCCCAAACCCTCCGCAGAGACCGCCAGCCCTCGTTGTGCAGCGCTGACCGGAACACGGCGCTCAGTTCCTGGTACGACTGCTTCTCAGACTGCATCTTTGTGTGGACCAGCTCCAGGGGGCTGATTACTGTAGCCGACCCCACTGACAAATGCAGAAAAAAAGTCATGGGAAGCCAGGCACACTTTGATATAGAAGGTCGACATGCGGAGAAAAGGTCAAACACTGAATCAGCAGGGAAAACGTTACCTCTCACGATTGTGCCGGCCAACAGCGGCACATAATCTGATCATAAGTCTCCCATCCTGTGCTTGAGAACGGCACATAGCTGATCGTAACATGTGAAATAGATTACGGTTGCAGGCACTGCCATCACTCTGCAAAGGGAAATGCATTTCATAATTTATGTCCCAGGGTTTGGACAGCAGAAATGTAATACTGGTAAAAAAAAATGTATAGCTTGAATGCACTATAAGTCGGTTTGGATAAAAGCGTCTGCTAAATGCATAAATTATTATTATTATAATAAAATTATAATTACATATTGGCTTTATTGAATACCATAGTCGAAAATGTGTATTTATTAAAAAAGTAAATATAAAGCTGTCATTTACCAGATGCTTTTTATGCAAATCGATTTACAGGACAGTATTTTTATGGTGCTTTTTCACAGAAACACACCAGATCTAAATTATATATTTAATATCACTGAATCTAAATGTATTGCCATTCACAAAATATGTATTGTTAAAAAATAGGCATCTAACTAGATCACTCTGACCCACGTTACATTCTAAAAGGGATAGGTTAATATATTTTTTCTGTATTAGGATATACTAAATCCATAGTCTCTTACCAAACAGTGACTTAATAATTGCCCCAGAGCAAGATGCAATCATCTATCTAAACATCCAACAGGATAGTGTGAGAAATGTGGACACAGTGAAACTGTAGAACATGTGATTATTAATTGTAAGGGTTATGATGAAGAAAGAGAAGTGCTAAGAGACGACGTATGGAAGAATGAAGGAAAAGAGTTAACATTAAAGAATATATTAGACTCAGATATAGGAAATAGTACGATAAATGTGTTTCAGTTTCTGAATAATACAGGTTTAATGAAGAGAATGTAGGATAAGTATATATAGAGAGGTAGAAGATGCTGATATAGTGTGGGTAGAAGGGAAAGTATATCTGAAGGTTAAATAAGGATACAGTGGGATATTGGGATTTAAAGGGAATTGGGGTGGAAACTGGAGGAGCTGAAGAACAAGCCCACATTTACCTTGTTCCAAATAGATCTGAACATATAAACCGGGTTTACTGCATTGACCTTTATCAGTTCTCATTACAACTCAATTTCCAAATGACGTAAATAGCATAGACTAGGTAACGCCGAAAGAAAAAAGCATTGTCATCAGTGCAGTCCAAAGATATTAATGAATCTATGATTCATTATGAGTTACACGCTACTGCACTAGCGTGCGCCATTGCGCTTCCCCACAACATGACATGTGCTTGTTGTCTTGCAGTGTGTTTCGCACCAGCAGATTCGTAACTTCCGGCTATTTAAATTTCGCCATTGGACACAATAAAGCGCTCGCGGACGTGACAGTGTATCGAAGTCATGTTTTATACTTTTAACATTGGTTTTCTTGTGTATATTCTACATAAAATTCAAGTTGTTTATATTGGTGCAATTGACGTTCAAATGTCAGCGCTTTGCGGCGTCGTTTTTGAAATGTCAAAAAAATATACGTCGAATCTCCCTTCATGAACTCCAAGATTACAGCAGGTTTCGTGGGAGAGTGGAGAGCGTCTCGAGCGGGAAAATGGAAACGGGTTGCGTCGAGTGTTTGTTTTGAAGATATTTACAAACGGCAGAGGCATTTAACACAGTGTTGAGTTTTTAGTTTAGCGTTTTAATCAAGTTACAGTTATAAGTAATGCTGCTATATGTTTGCGGTATAACTAGCTGGTTTAGCCGGGTTTAGGGCTGTAACGTTAGCCGTTAGAAGTAAAAGCTCCATGATGAAGCACGACTCTTTTTCCAGGTGTAAGGACAGAGGTGCTTTATACATTATAAAAATCATGTTTATCTCTTTTAATTAACTTTTAATTTTCTCTTTTTTTTGTGTAAAAGTAGCCTTTGAACATAACGCTTTAGGAAGTTCCCATGCTTACGCTGTTCAGTATATACACTGAATGTATGTGTATTGTTTATAAGTCTAATTGTGCTATATTGATCTTCACAGATTCAAAACTGGCCGGACATAATAGTGTATCATCTAAAAGCAAAGTTAAAGCCACATGTGATGCTCTTCAGAATAAACCTTTTAAAGGGAGAATATTTTACTTGGATCTGCCATGGAATATGAAAACACAACTCTTGGAAAATGACATCGAAACACTTGGTGGTGTAAGTGCAGTTCACTGTTTACTGTTTTAAGTATAATCTATCATTGAGGGGCTGTCTGCGCAAAATATTAATCTTTTCACATGCAGGAAGAGAATGCCCTTTAAATTAGTAAAATTAGACAGCTGTCTCTTTAGAAACTCGGCAAAATGACTAGTTTAATAAGCTTCACATTTATACACTTCTCTCAATGTAAACAAGACTGGAATTTCTGCGTAATTTAAAAGAGTGTATTATATGAATTACATCTGTTTCTTGGTAAGAATGAAGTGATACTGGTCTGTAACTGAAAGGAGTGGCTCACCCCAAACCTTCAGGACATCCAAGATGTAGATGAGTTTGTTTCTTCATCAGAACAGATTTGGAGAAATTTAGCATTACATCACTTGCTCCGTTCTAAGGAAGAGACAAACTCATCTACATTGTGGATGACCTGAGGGGGAGTTAATTCAAAGCAAATTTTCTGTTTTGGGTGAACCATTCCGTTAACTCAAAATGTTGACCATGCACATGTAATCACAGATGTAGTAACCTCCTGTATGTTCTGGTCAGCAGACAGTGGAAAAGTTCTTCAGTAAGGAGATCAAGTATTTTGTGTCCAGTAAGCCGGAGGCTCGTTATGCCCAGCGTCTCCTTCCGGACTCTCCTGCGCCCAGTCCAGATTCAGGCATCAGCTCTCCTCATCCCAGCAGCAAGAGGGAAAGCCGTGTGCACAGGGGCAACTCTCAGGGAGTCACGGATACGGTTAGACAGGATGCTTTTTGTTCTCAACTTCATTGGCAAAGATTTTGTTTCTGGGTTCCCGAAGTAAAAAAAACCCAGAAACTAAGCATTTTAAAATGTTTTAAGTCTTTAAAATGACTTACGCAGTAAATGTAATATTTTTATATTTTAAAGTGGAGTGCCTAACAGCGCCCCTTAGCTATTCGAAATTCACTCTAAACCACGGCTTCATGGGGATCTTTGCTTTTATATAACGTTGGGTTAGCATGCACTTAGCCCACCAATTCAGTCCAAATTCACTGACATGTTTATCTTGTGCTGGAATATCACAGGTGGCTGTAAGTCGAGGCAAATCGCTTGTGGGGAGAGTTGTTAAGGAACAAGTGAGTCAATCTTTATCATGGCTTGTTTGTTTGTTTGTGAATGAACTCTTGAGTGAAGTCTTGAGTGGTTTATCAGTGCTCTGATTGAGGGTTTTCTGTTCTGTTTTAGGAACGTGTTCAGATGAATGGAATCTTGGCCAATGCTGTGGAATGGGGAGTCAAAGTCCTGCATGTTGACGGTATTTTCTTTATCATCATTAATACTTGTATTGTTAGAGAAGTGAGATATGGTTTCACTATTTCATGGTGTTTGATGCTTGACTTCCAAACAGATGTTATTTCTTATGTTGACAAGAAGAAAGCAAAACTCATTGCAGTGAACGCAGCTAATCCAGTGGTGAAAAGAGCTGTGAGTAGTTTTTTTGTTCGTAGCACATTTTATTATTATATTTGTTTATATTAAAATTTAAAAATGAACCACTGTAAAAACATTGTTCAACCACTTTTCTGAATATTGTGTGTAGTAAACAACTACAAAATGTGATGTTTACTGTCCTAAAGACTAAACTGAAACATTTGAACCTGATCTTTTAACATTCACCAGAAAATTACTCATGTGGAATCTGCACAGGTTTTCACAATTTCTGCCCTGATTGGGAAATCTATGGAATATAAATTTGGCTGCAAAGTGAGAAATCTGTGGAGCTGCAGACTCTGTGCAGCGCTGCAAATAAACTTATTTCTGTATATATTCAGTTTATCACTCTTCATTTTTAGGCCAGCATTCAGCACACAGACAAAAATACCCACAGACACAATGGTAAGTAGAGAGTAAAGAACCTGTTTTAATATGTTGCTGCATCCAGTTGAAAAAGTTGAATATATAGCAGTCTATATTTGATTTAGTTTTTGTTTTTTATTTCCAGCTGAAAGAATTTGTCGTCCATTTGTGAAAGTAGAAGACTCAAGCAGGTGCGTTTCCTTTTCTTGTTTTTCTTGTTTCACATTACTTGTCAAATTCAATAACAGTCTGTGATATTGTTTACTGTGATACTGTGTGATATTGTGATACTGTTTTTGCAGGCATTATTGTCCCATCTACCTTCCCCTGTCCAACACGCCTGTGTGCAACCTCCGATCTATTCCACCTTGCTGCCCATTCCTGATGGATGAATATGGAAAAGAAGATCCAAAGAGACCGAAAGAGCAAAGGTACAATGAGAATCAGAAATGTCTTTTTGTAATGCAGGCATTTTTGAGAGTGTGTCTGTGTGTGAATGAGAATCTTTTTTGCCTCAGGTCTGGTGGGGAACGAGGAATTAGAGGAAAGAAAGGCAGGCGCATAGGACATGAAGGGAGAGAAAAGAGGAAAGGAGGGTACTGTGAGTGCTGTGAGGTCAAATTCGACAACCTAAAGATGGTAGGTGTTGGAAACAAAAGAAAGGCAGTCAATTTTAAATTAACACTTTGTATATGCCGTTTCTCATCTGAAAACAAACAAACGGTAATTATAAATTTTGGGCTGAACCAGGATTTGCATAAAATACATGACATTTGTTCTCACCTGTTCTGACCTTCTGACCACCAGCACCTAGAGAGTGACCAGCATCAGGCTTTCTCTAAGAGTGAGGAGTACACAGTTGTGGATCGAGTCACTGCGGGGCTGACCTGTGACCTTATTAACATTGGCACACACAGCAAAAGGTACAAACGTCTTTAAAAATTGTAGGTTCCCTTTTTTTTTTTTTTTTTTACTGGCCTTATGACGGCACTATTTCAATGTCCCTCTGCCATAGGGTGAAATGCAGTACATCAACCCCTGTTCTGTGTGCTGTAGCAATGTTGCCTGTAAAGGAAGATGTGGGATCTGTAAATGGTGATTGGAAACAGGAAAGCAACGGGTCTTTGCTTTGGAGCTCTACAGCAAGGCAACCTCTTTCAGAACAGACCAGAGAAAAACCTCTGTCAGTTCGCAAACGCAGCAGAGGCCAGTGTGAATTCCCTCTGAACAACAGGGACAGCTTTTTCGACCAATCCGATGTTCCTGAGAAGTCCCAGTCTAAGCGTGGATCCTTTGAGTGGGAATTCCACTCGCAATCTGTTGTGCGGAAATCTGAAGGTGCATCTTTTCTCAGCAGAGAGCAGAACTGTGACTCTAATGCACCTGAATGCAGGACAGACCAACAATCCAGGACAAACCCTGACATGTGCACAGCTCAACAGTTCAGTGAAAGAAACCGAGAATCATTAACGGCATTTGAGTGCTTTAGGACTAACTCCTGTGAAGTTTATTTGCAAAGTATGCCAGAAAATCAAGTTGAAAATTCAGCTCTTTGGCCTTTAGGCAGCACAGAACCCGAACCGGACCCCGATAGCCCCACTAATTCACTGCAACGGAAGGTTCGGAATGTCAGATCCAGAAGAAGAAAGCAAGTACCAGCCTTGCACATCGAATCTAGTAAAGAGAGAGAATCATTGAGCTCTCTTACACCTGTTAAACCTGTACTGGAGTGCGAGAACCCACCTGGTTATCTCCTGGACCTGTGGCAGCTCTTTCAGTCCAGTGACCACATGGATGAAGATTTTAAGGGTTTTTGAGATTAAAGCTAGAGGAGTAGAGGAATTTAACACATATGTATGTGTTGTAAAAGTTATTACTGTGCCAAATAATATGTAGTAATAAATCTGTTTTCTTTCATCAGTACGATAGGAAAACACGGAGACTCGGAAAGGGGTACAGGCTAAACAATACTCAGCAGAGAAATGTGGTTAGAGTGGGTGTTATATAGTGAATGAGGTAATTAGAAACAGCTGTGTGCAATGAGTGCAATCAGGGCAGTGTGCAAATTGTGCAAAGAATGATGGGAAATGTAGTCCGGGGTGCTATGCAACAGTTTGTGTAGTGCGAGAGTCAATGTAATGGAAAATGTGACATCTGGTGGTGAATAAACGGAAGTCCATGAACCGAATTCGTGACAGTTACAGCCAGTGTGTTCTCTTTTTAATATTTTTCCACTAGGTGATGGTGTTCCGTGGTTTTGCCTCTCTTTCAGAGCGAGCATCAAGTACAGGTGTGAGTGTTACCTGTGTTTGGCGTTTGGGTTTAAAAGACGGAGATTCAGAGAGCAGTGTGTGTTCTGGACTGGGCCCCCGTTCATCTTCCCTCTCCAGCCCTGGATTGTTTTGTTTTCGTTTCTTTCTTTCTTTATACTTAATTTTTGTATTATTTGATTTATTCTTGATTAAATGTTTATTTGTTAAACTTAGTCTTCTGTGTGGCCTCCCCTTTTGGCAATGTTCCTTCACTCAGAGCCAGGTGGTTGTAACAGTAGTGACACTGAAGTGAAGACTGGAGTAATGGCTGCTGAACATTCAGCTTTGCTATCATAACAATGAATTACATTTCAAATTCACAGCTATTTATAAATATTAAAATATAAACACAATATTACTTTTAAGTAAATGCAGCCTTGGTGAGCATAAGAAACCTCTTTCAAAAGCTTACATTTTTATCAACCACAAACTTTTGAATGGTATAGTCCAATTAACCACTTCTGTATGTAGCATAAATATGTTAAACAAATGTCAATTCTGTGTTATTTAATCAAATTGAAGCTCTACTTTAAGTGGCCTAATGGGCTAATGAAAAATGTGTTTATTACACAACGTATTTATTTACGGGGTAAACCTGGGATTTGTTTTGAATGGCTTCCACAGCTTTTTGTTTATTTTGTTACTTTTATTTTGTTACATTATTTTATGTTTTTGTTTAATAGTTTTCTTTTTTCTGGTTATTCTGGGCATTATAAAATTATTAGTGCATAAAGCATAATATTGCCTGGTGTACTAATGATATGCATGATTTCATACTACAAGGGCGTAACATTATGCATTATTATTTAGTACTAGTACTATTTAATACATTGTGTTTCACTGTTCTTATGCTCCATAATGCATCAGTTCTGGCGCAGAAGGTGACAGCAGGTCTACACGCACACTACACTACCCATCATCCCGCGTGCAGCTCGCTCATGTATATTTATGAGGCGTTTCTGCAGTGAGGCGGCTGGATATGATTGATGTCTTGCTGAGGAGGAGGTGGTGGTTTCTGCTCGGCGAAGAAAAAAAGGTCCTGATTTTAGTTTTCCAGAACGCGCCCGCCGCTTGCGCAAGCCGCGTCTCGATGCAGAGGCTGCGCGCGAGAGTATGTGTGCGCCTTCCTGAGGGAGACGGAAATCGGGTTTAACTTGGGATTTAACTCGTGTTTCGTGTAATTTGGGATATATATGATTAACCGCGATTTTCTGAACCGAATGGATGCGGGAATGATGCCTCTCCGTGTCGGGAGTTCCTTTCTGTGCCTCTTTGTAGCGGTGATGAGCTCTGTGATACATACCAGCTTCTCCCTGCCTCATTACGGTGAGGGGGTATTTTTATATATTTCATAAAAAACTAAACAATTATGGCGTATTTTTTACCATATTAGTGTCGTATTTTACGCCCACTGCATTCATTTCAGGTGATGTAAACAACTAATATGTATGTAACGGTAAATAGCCGACCCTGAGCCGTGATTTATCATTATTTATCGTATCTAAACAGAATATTATGTCCAATTTCATACATGTAAATCGAGAGAAAAATATATAGGTGTTATATGTTAAAAACATGCTCCCGTGTTTTTATTATTCATAGGAGACGCCTTGGTAAAGACGAGGGCTCGGCGTGATGTCGCCAGGTTCCTCGGGAGAGAGAACACGGTACCGGTCCGCTTGGTGTACCGAGTGGATGGAGACAGTCAGGCCGCTCATGATGTTCTCAACACACGGCTTCGATTGAGATCTGACAGTAAACAGGTGTGTATTTTTCATCTCATGTTTGGATGTCATCTGGGTGTCACAAGGATGCTCTCTCCTCCCGTTGCCATTAGAGACGCGCTGCTCTTGGAAAGATGTTTATGTTTTTCTCTTTTACTCTCCTTCCGAGTCTTATAGTCAGGCACTGGGTTGTCTGAGAGCGCTGTGAAGTTAATTCCAGTCATTTAAGGGTGATCTAATGAACCAAAACAGCACATTTCATCAGAAGATGCTGATGCTTCGGCCTCCTGAGGTATCTCGTGGCATCACAGTCTTGGAAACACAAAGGACACAGAAAGAACAAATGAGCAGCTCCTGTGTTGGAGCATGATCAGCCTAAATAAATATTGTATTATACTTTTACATTATTATATACTATAGAAACATCAGAGACTGATTAATGATGTAACTCCATCCATTATTCAGCAAAACACTGAATCAGGGACTCAAAACCTGGGCCATGATGATAAAAAGAAAACAATAAACTGGCTAATGTACTTTGTATTTGGATTCTCGGTTGAGCGTGTAATGCTATTAGAGGTTTATGGACATGCCATTTCTTTTGTACTTGCTTTTCCTGTCTTGAAAGATAAGACTGTGAGCTGATATCACTATAACTCATAAATTAGCTGTATTTAATGAACGTAAACTTTATGTAACTGGTAAAAAGATTTTTAGAATGTTTTTGAAAGAAGCATTTTAGGCTCACCAAGGCTGCATTTATTTCATCAAAATAGAGTAAAAACAGTAATATTGTGAAATATTATTACAATTTAAAATAACTGTTTTCTGTTTGAATGAAATATAATCTCTTCCTGCAATGGCAAAGTTGAATTCTCAGCAGCCATTACTTCATTACAGTGTCACGTGAGTCTTCAGAAATCATGCTAATATGCTGATTAGAATGATTTTTGAGTGGAAGCTTAAAAAGTCTAAGCCTTTTTTGTCCATCCTGACTGCTCAGGTACTCTGTTGCTCATACTTTGTGTGACTGAATAATTCACAAAGGCACAGATATGCAATCGCTTGTGGCCTTGTTAATGTAACGAGTCTCTTTGACTGGTTAGAATGTCTGTACATGTGTCCTAGCATCGCTGTTTTGAGCTTTGGGCTGTGTGTCCACGTGTGGGGCTTAACCCTTTGTCTGACGTGTGCAGCTGAGCTCTGTGTAATTCACTCGAAGGCTTTTTCGTCATGTCATGCATTGTATTGATTTAATCATTGTGGTGTTATATATGGTTCTACATTAGAGATTGGATTAGAAGCATATGCCAATGAAATTAATTTGATCATAAATACATTCTACAATACAAACTACGCTTAGGTCTGTTTTTAGCTCCACTTTTGGCTTACAATTGGATCTTTTTGAAGATGGTTTTATTTATAGAAATTCACTGATGCCTGAAAAAAACAAAACGAAGAAAGAGAAGCTTGCTAATTTTAGATCTTCCTTTTTTAACGCAAAATGTAGATCAGAAAAGAAAAAAACAAATTAAGTTGAGCAGTTTAAAACAATTTATGATGAAATGGCAATCGATGATGCCAAAGACAGGCTAATGGACAGAAAGCTGCAGCCCTCTCATCTTACACATTTTCTAGAAAACACTCTGAGTCTCTTTATTAGATTTGTGTGTTAGAGTGTTATTGTGCATCTTGTTAAGACTTGACACACAAATACACACTCGAGGAGCAGTAGATGTATGTGGGTGTGACTCGGGGAGGGTAGCTTCATTCAGGGGGTCACTGATGGGTGAAGTATATAGGATCTCCCCCTCCGCATTTCTTCCACCCTTTCGTTTTCCTTCCATTTTTATTGATAACTACGCTTTGCTGTTTTAGGGAGAGGTGTGGTCCCTTGGGGGTGTTAGACTCCTCTCACCTCCCTCATATGCTTCAATTTCTGGCCCCCCACACACACACATCCACTCACAAGCAACGAGAACAATGCATTGTAACCCAAAAGCTTCTCTTTCCCCTGAGGGGGTGTTATACGGCCCTGGCCATATGGGTCCCAAGCAGGCAGTGAATTAACCATCAGCGAACACACACACACCCCCACCCCCACACAGCCACCAGTCCTGCACATCAGAGTGTACACGTGATTGAAAAAAAAAAGGCAATTAGCGCATCTAATTTTACTTCTCTCTCTTGACACACCAAATATGTTCTAATTTTTATAGTTTTTATTGTCTCGGCTCATGTGTGGCACCTTGAGATTTTCTTTTTGAAATAAATATATACTTTTGATTAGCAAGAAAGATTGCATTAAATTGAGCAAAAAGTGAATTTGACAATTTCTGCTTCAAATAAATGTTTTTTTTTGTGAATTTTCTATTCAAAGAATCCTGAAAAAAATCTGTCAAGGATTCCACAAAACTTATTAAGCAGCACAGCTGTTTT